TCTCTTCTCTCTCTCTGTCTCTCTCTCTCTCTCTCTCTCTCTCTCTCTCTCTCTCTCTCTCTCTCTCTCTCTCTCTCTCTCTCTCTCTCTCAATCTCTCTCTCTCTCTCTCTCTCTCTCTCTACACACACACACACACACACACACACACACACACACACACACACGCAATTTTCAAGTTCTTGTGTCATGTGACACCTTGCACAATCATGCAAAGGAGTATTCGAGCTGAAAATCTGGTGAAGTAAATGCGTCAAAGATTATTTTAGGATTCCAAACATTTAATCATACGGGTCGTCATCATCTCATGCACAGCCAGTATCATCACAGGATTTTTTCTGTGTGTGTTTTGCTTTATTTCGATGGGTTAGAAGGGCGGGAGGGGGGCGGGGTATAGTTTTTGTGAAAGGACAATGGTGGATAAGAGAGACATATAAATATTCACCCGTTACCGATTCCTGCATATATTTTTCAGATTGTACTTAAACATAAAGTAGTGAACAGTTTCAATCTCAAGAAATGAACAGAGCAGAAGTTTCATCAGTGCTCACAACACAGGAAGTGAGTTGACAAATCCATTGACATTGTGCAAGACAAAGAGGACAACTCCCCTGACCTGTTATCTTGTGGAGGCTCTCAGTCGTACAGGAAAGTTCCATCGTAGAAAGGGTTCTGTCAGTCGTCATCTGTTGGAGACATAGCCGTCATCTTGAATCGGGAGTCCCCAGCGAACTCTTCCATTCACTTGTATTGAGGTAACCAAGTTTCCCTCCAATAAAATGAGGCAGTATATTTTTTTTAACATCATGCAGTATTGATACCTGACACTCGGGTCATTTTATAATAAGGGCTATCATAACATATTAAATATAAAGACAAAACCATAAGAAATCTGCAAAAACAAAAACAACCCAACGACAATGAAGTTGAGCTGATTTTAGTATTTAGTTTTTCTTACTATGACATTCAACTCAACTCAACTGTATTTACAGAGCACTTTAAAACAGCCATCGCTGTATACAAAGTGCTGTACATGGAGCAAATATCATATATACAACAAGAAAACAATACATTAATAATGAAGACAGTAGAAAGCACAAAACAGTGTGGAATTAATTGAAACATAATTCAAATTCTTTGAAAACCACCATTCAAGAATTCAATTTAGACCTTATTTGAAGCACATTTGAAATATAGTCCAATATATACAATATACTGTATATATACTGTATATATACTGTATATATACTGTATATATGTATGCGGGCCTTATGTGTTACATGCTATTGTGTGCTGAAAAATAGTTTACACTTATCACAGTACAGTATGTCATTTCCATTTAGTAACAAAATAAAGAAAAGCATGAATGCTGAATGTTTTTACCTTTGTAATTTGCCTGCTTGTTGATCGGAATCTGTAAAACGTGATGTACTGTTTTTGAATTCGATTCGGCTAGTTCAATAAATTCAAAGGATGGCCATTTGATTCAATTTTCTTCCACATCTACTGGGAAAATGAATTCATTTTGATTTTAATCCATCCATCCATTTTCAACACCACTTATCCTGAACAGGTCAAGGGAGGTTGCTGGAGCCTGTCCCAGATGACTCCAGGCAAAAGGCAAGACAACCTGAACTGGTCTTCAGTCAGTCGCAGGGCACATATAAAGACGCACAAGCAGTCACACCGTCACTGAGTGAGAATCAAACCCATGCCGACCGCACACAAGTCAGGCGAGCGTACCACTACACCATTAGCAACTGGGAATGGGAAACCCTTTTTTAAAGTTTGGACCTCCTGTTTCGATCCCAGTGGTATCAATTTTCTATAACGGTTGTCCTGATGATGGTCTTGGGTGACTATGAGCCAATCTCAGCTGATTTTTGGCCACCCTGGACTGGAAGATCAGAACATGCAACACAAGGATTTGTTTGCTCACAAATGTGTGATGAGCACCTTTATTCATTCGCTGTATTTGGCGAGTCGTGCACTTTCAGTGGCGGACAAGCTAGCAGAGTGCACTATTTAGCGTGATCCACATTTTCATATATACTGTGATCCCCTCCTTGTCCGTCCGGCTGACCTGCAGCTTGCTGTAAAGACGGTAAGTCGAGTTAGCTTCAATCAGGATGAATATGAATTTCGTGGCCGTGAATCCTACCTGTAAATTAATATAAACAGGTTCCTCGATAACCTTGCTCTCTGGAAGCTTTTTATCGTCGTGTTTGTTGTTCGTTTCTTTTCTAGAAAATGGGAGGGAAAACCATTGAAGAGACAAAACTGTACATTGAATCACAAGATATTTTTCAACGAAAAGGTCATGAATTCACATCACGTTTTTGGCTCTCGGAGGAGAAGAGAGTTGTGGTTTGGTCCTCATCCTTTTCGTAAAGTGGGAGCATTGCGGGAAAATACACACATTGTAGTGTACATCGTGATAAAGCACTGCCATTACAGTACTCGGTTACATTTAGTCAAGTCATTGTTTTGAAGAAATTGTACTGTTTTAGTGTAGTTTGAATGTAACATATTTTTTTTACTCTTACTTGAGTGTTTTTGTTATGAAGTAACGCTACTTTTACTCCGTTCCAGTGACAGATATCTTGGATTACTTTTTTTCTGAACGTCAAACATACAATACGCGTAAGTAATTTCTTTTTAAAATACATTTTTATGAAAGTGACACCTCAAGAACTTGAAACTAAATGACGAAATGACTGTTTTTTTTTTTTTTTTTTTATTCACGGGGCAATAAATGCAAAGCAGCTTTTCTAGCAAAGTGAAAAGCAAAAACAATGAATGTTCTCCTGCCTACAGCCAACACCTCCTGACTGCTTCATATTTTTGGCATTTGGTAGATGATGATTTGGCCAGCATATTTCTCCTTGACTTGGACTGAAACTAGTTGTTGATCTTTTTTCCACATCACTTAGGTGGAACCCTCGCAACTGGAGTTTTAACATCCATGATACATACCTGGTGGCTTGGTTTGGTGATTTTCTGCTGAAGTTGGCATAATATCCAGAGCCCTCCCTTCCAAATGATTGTGATCTGTCATTATGCAAAATGTTGAGGGGTGGGAAAAACGAATGTGTTACGTTTTGGGATGAGGCTCAAACAACAAAATGCGGACAAAGCAAAGCTCTGCGAATATTTTCCAGATCTCGCTCGACTGATTGAAGCTCACCTTGCGTGCCTTTTCCAAAGGAGAAATCCAGCAGCGAGAAGGATAACAACGGCCGCCAGCGGTACAAAGACGGCAATGCAGATTGTTTGTAACATATTTCTGTTGATTGGAGCTGTCAAGAAAAGAGACAGCATGGTCAACAACGGACACCTAACATAATAACACGATTTGATTGCAGCGTCAATAGTCAAGATCAAAGACTGGGCTGTTACCTGGATTGAATGTGCCTGACGTAGCATCTGGCCCAACAAGAGATGACATATTGTGAAACGTACTCAATAACACAACTGCGATTTGAAACGACGACAATATTTTGACAAATTGCTCACCTGTCGCATTTATCGTGACGCTTTGGTTATAAAAACTAAAGCTTTCCTTGGCAACGATCCGAAAGTAAATAACCAGTCTGCTGTCCATTAGGTTTTTAATCTTGAGGGTGCAGCTCCTGTCGTTTCTCTTTGGTACGATCGAGGTCTTTCCTTGATACTCCTTCACCACAAATGTGCTATTGGGGTGATAAATGAACGCGTTGGCATCCCGGTCGTAGGTCTTGAATGTGCTTCTCTGGAACAGTTTCCAGAAGAGCCCAGGTTTTTCTGTGTGGTACTTGGGTGGGTAGCTGAACGTACATGGAACGGTCACACTTTGGCCTTTCACTGCGTTGATGCTTCGGTTGACTTTCAGACCCCATGTTTCACCTGGAGATAAAAATAAACATCATAATCATAATAATGATGAGAATAACAAATTCACTCAGCAAGTGCCCGTGTGACACCATCCAAAACAAACGGCGGCTCTACCCACCTTTTGAATGAGCAGCCAGGATCAGAATGATGATGGCAAGCTCAATCAAAGGTTGCTGATGATCCATTGCAGACGTCCCAAGTCCGATTCCGATCGTGTTGACTTCGGACAGGACTTCCCACTAAATGCGTCCGCTTTTTGACACAAGCGCAATCCGAAGCCGACGAGGCGGCTCATTGAACTGCTCGTTAATGCTTGAGAGGAAAGGTCGTTGCTCGCGAATCCTGACGGTGATGTGAAATTTTTGGGTGTGTTTCCTGTTGCTTTGCAGTGGTGAATAAAAAAAAAAAAGGAAGTTGGAACAGAGCAGTGAATGTTCACTTTATTTTAAACTTTCACTCAAATAGATGAGAACACTTCGACCCCGTCGAAGCAACAGGTTTCGTTTATGCTCGTGTAATATGAAAATCTACTTTTGTGGCTCTTTGTTGAACAAGGCAGCATATACGCAGTTTTCAAAACAGACCCTGATTGCCTCACTATGACAATGTAGAATAGAATAGATGTGCTAAATCTCACGTAGGCTATTTCCTGCAAAGATTTGCATATCTATCCATTTGCACTGTTCCATCCAAATGATTGGATGAATAAATCGCTAAAAAGAGAAATCAAGACACAAAAAAATAAATAGACGAAAATGAATAGGCAGATTTATTTATTTTTTCCATGTCATGAAAGTTTACACAAAAAAATCTAATCTTTGGCATTCCAACGACCAACTCTTGCTTGCAGGACATATGTCACATTGTAAATTTCCCCCGTGTGGGACAAATAAAGGATATCTTATCTTATCACTTCTTGCTTTTTGGGACCTGAGAAGAGAAGAGATCGAATAGCTTATTCAAAAGTGGTGTGAGTCGATGTGTGTGAGTCAGGCAAGCGGTGGGGGAGAGAAATCCCAGGAAGAAAGTTCAACGTCAATGGAAAATGTGGTCCTTTAACTTGAAATCAATAAAGTATTGAAAAGCAGGGGTTTAGTTCTTGACATGAGTTCATTTTGTTTATATCTGAAATACTGACTGTATTTTTCTTTTTGTAATTTTCAAGAATTCTACGATGCCTCTTTCAAACGCACTTTATTCTGAATACAAATTTTATTTCATATACATCTTGAAAAAAATTCCTGTTCCAGTACAAAAATAAACAGAAATATTGTATCTTGGAAAAAAAAAATACGATCACTTGGTGACGGCAAAATATTTGCTTTCCATGAGGGTTGACTCAGCTGTGGGTGGTGTGAGTGTTGCTCTTTCAACTTCCTCACTTAAAACGGTAAAAGGCTTCAACACCCACACTTTTCCAACAACTTCTTCCCATGGGTAGGACACTTTAGACATAGTGGGAGAACTACAGTGGATATAAAAAGTCGACGCACCCCTGTTTCAATGCCAGCTGTCTGTGTGGAAAAAAAAAGACTAGCAAAATCTCACAATCACATGGGGAAAATGTGTTATGGTGTGAAAAGCTTACTAGAACAACTGAACTTGATTTGGGATTAATCAGAGGCCCTTTTATATGATAGATAGATAGATAGATAGATAGATAGATAGATAGATAGATAGATAGATAGATAGATAGATAGATAGATAGATAGATAGATAGATAGATTAATCTTTTTCTACCTACAATCTTGCTGCTGAAGGCTGTAAATTTCCCCAGTGTGGGACAAATAAAGGATTATCTTATCTTATCTTATCTTAGATAGCCTTTTAATTAACATGTGCTGTTTGATGAATATACCACTAGGTGGAGGGCGATATTGACAAATCCCAAGTGTACTTTGAGTCCTGACTCCATCAGGAAAGTGAGTCAAGTTAGTCTCTTGACTCTGGACAACATTCCCCAAAAGAAGCAAGAATGAAGTCCGAAAGACTTGCCGTTTACGATGGATGACAAGTTCTCCCGCGCTTCGGTTCAACGGCTGGCTGACACTGTGCGAATACCTCACAGATGGACCGTGTGATTTCATCGGAGGAGGGGAACAGGCAAGCCGGACGCCAGGAGCCGCGCGTCCGCTCCCGGAGGAGGCTGGCCGGCGTCAGCTCGCCCGCTCAGGCTGCCGCACGGCTCACCTTGTCCGGGGTCATGGACACCGAGGGGAGGGTGGACGAGTCAAGACTGAGAATGCACATTTTCCAAAACGGTATCCATCTTTGGCTCAGTGATGAAGATGAATGTCAATTATTTATGTTGTCTCCTTAAAAAAAGGACCAGTTATCCTAATAATAACGTTAGTAAATGTATCTTTTAAGTCGATAATTCTACTTTTTTAACATGCCCATGATCCCGAATGATCATTACAATAGTAATAATTATACACATTTTCTCTACTACCCCCCCAAAAAAGGCTGACCAAAGGTTGGTCTAAAAATAACAGTATTGTATAAATAATGTTAAATTAGGTATTACATGTAAATTTCGGTGTTTTTAATGCTCGCGACCCTAAATAATAGTCATTCATTCATTTTCCGAACCGCCTGATCCTCACTAGGGTCCCCCTAAATAATAATTAAACCAAAACAAACAGAACTGACCTAAACATTGGCCTAAAAATATTAATCATGTTAACATACATAATGCATCTGTTAATTTCCTTTTCTAAGCATGCCCGTGATCCTGAATCCTAATCAAAACAATAATAGTAACAATTATACAAATGTTAACATCATCGGCCCCAAAAAGAAATTAAAAAATGTTTGGGCTCAACAGCATTGGTATTAATGCTGTTGATTCAAATATTACACAATTTTATAAATTTTAAAATGCCTGTGACCCTAAATAATAATTGATAGTATAAATAGCAATAATTACACATTTTATGAAATTTATTACAGTTTATCTTGGTGATGCATGCATTTTTGTTTTTATTTTATTTATGGGTGAATTTATGAATGTAAGGAAGTCTATCCCTGCACTCTCTCAACACAAGCACCACCACCACCACCAACAACAACAACAACAAAATGTCCAGGTATTAGAATCGATGAAGTGTACATTGTACAAGAAGAACATTAAAGTGCATGCTCCAAATCACACACAGGCCTTGTGGTTATCTAAACAAAGAGTTGGTTATGGTCACATGCACAGAAGTTGAAGTGCTTGTTGCTAGAGGCAGTCAAGTGATGCTTTGCCCACATTTTCTGGAAGTGCACTTTCAAACAGCTCTGAAGCAAGAGTTGCCATGAAAGTATGGCATTTAAAAAGAAGGCAAGGCTTGTTAAAAAAAAAAATCACATGAGCTTGAACTCATGTGTGTTCAGTGACGTGTGTGAAGCTAAGAAATGAGGCTTAATGTTTCAGAGCTGCCTTTGTGAATGTGAATATTCCTTTTGATAGCCATCATCATGGCAAAAGGAAATGTTTCAGGTCTGTTAATCGGGGTCAATCAATATTCTTTCTGAATGTGCTGGAACAATAGTATCGAACATGGATGTAGGAATTCAAGGAAAAAGATTAGCCCGGCAGCAGTGCAAAACATTGCGTAACACATGAGTCTCAAATCCTCTGGAAGCAGAGCAAAGGTCACTACATCTGCCCTTATGTTCCACTTCACTGATTGCCTGACGTGACCTGCTTTGATGATGATTGCACAAAAATGTGCAATATTTGGGATTTCTTTTTTCGTATGGGATGTTTAGCTGGCAATTTTTTAAATGCTGCATATGTTCGACAGGAATTTTAGAAGTCTTTTGCTTTTGTGCTGGGTCCCACGGTGTGTAGTTAAACAAACAACCAAAAAAAAAAAAAAAAAACCAACATGAAATTAACATTGTATTTCCTGGCATTCCATTTCTAAAATGACAGAGAATCCTATTCTGTTTGTTTCCAATATAGACCTATAAATATCCATTTTCCTGTTAACTCACATGTAAAACTTAAAATGTAAACATCCCTGAAGTTTTGCAACCTACTCCACCATTAACAATCGGGACAACATCAATCCGTGTCTAGGTGGCGTATCTCCCACTGAGCGTGGCCTAGCATGGCGCTTCCTATTCGGGATGTACCCGTGCAGCTCGACCGCTTTGGAGCGTCCTCTGCTTCAGGAGCAGCTGACTGTGCGTTACCAGGTGATGAAGGCAAAGTGGCAGAACTTCCTCCCTTCGGCTATACAGATGCATCTCAATGGCACCGATGGTAAACTCCCCAAACGTTCTGTTTCATAGACAATGACATCTTGATTGTGATTATGATTGTCTATTATATGTGCTTGGTAGCTGAGCTGGTGGCTGCAGTGGGCTATTTTAACCAGAGGCAGGCACTGGTCCAGCAAGAAGCTGACAACTTGAGTGACGAGGTCCGAGACCGGGTGATGTTTTTGGAGCTGCAAGCGCAGGTATGTTTGATGGGCACCTTTTTGGTTCAAGAAAGATAACCCAACACGAGCTAGTGTATTTAAAACATGACACGCCATGAAGGGCAGCACGGTGGTCGACTATCAGCACGCCGGCTTCACAGCGCAGAGAGAGTGATTCCGGCTCCGGCACTCCATGACTGACGTTTCTTGAAACATTCTCTTTATGTTGTGTATTAATGGCAAGACTGACTGTGAGCAGGATCAAGGCTATTCATTTTCATCTACTGCTTCATTCTTGTCAGAACACACTCTGCAAGTGGCAAAAACCTCTGCTTAACACAATAGAGTCAGAAAAAAAAAAACAAAGTACACCGCGATTTTGCAATCAGTTCAAAGTTGCCTGGTAGTTATAGTCAAATAAAGTGTCAGATAATAGTATTGAAAATGTGTTATGTCATGTTGTTTTGCGCTTGTTTTCAGATATTGTTTGAACGTGTTACTTTTGACCAGGAAGAGCTACAGGAAGCCATCCGAATTATTGATAAAGATGTCCCAAGAACCAACCGAGACCTGAGCTACTACCAGTACGGACCTTAAAAAAATCTAATTATTTTAATTTGGCAGCTAGATAAAATGGAATTCTAAAACTATGCATTGTTTCTCCGAAGGAGGTTAAGTTTGTGTATTTTCAGTGGCTTGGATACGTAGGTATTCTTCAATGATACCTTGTTACATTGGGAATTAAAATGACGGATTACACCCTTGATTGACATTTTGAAATTCACTTACGAATTTAACCAGTTGCCTTGTTTTTAACTTTTTTTTTGGGTGTATTTCAGAGGTGAAGGTTCAGGGAATCTGCTGGTGCTGAGAGACATCCTCATCACCTATGCGGCTTTCCATCCAGGTAAACAATTCAAAAACTTCATGTTTTTTGGGGGGAGGGTTTTCAACTGCAACTTTTTCTTGTGTTACAGAGGTAAGTTACGCACAAGGAATGAATGACCTGTGCAGCCGATTCCTGGAGGTCATGGACTGCGAGGTTGACAGTTTCTGGAGTTTTTCTTGCTACATGGAGAAATTTGCCAAGGATTTCCGAGAAGATGGCCTGCACAGAAAAATAGGTGGAGTGGACTGTCAATTATTACATGTTTGTTCTTTGCTCGGAAACATAAGTCAATGAAAGATTTCGAATAAATGTCATTTAGAGTTGGAGGCGGCCCTGTTAAAGGAATTGGACCCTCAACTTCATGTCCACTTGGTCACAGACAGCATGGAGAGCTTCACCTTTTGTCACAGGTAAATGAGTTGTCAGTTTTCATCCTTAATGGGGCCCACATTGAAATATGTGAGTACACTTTGCAGAATGGCGGCCCGGTGGTCGACTGGTGAGCACATCTGATTCACAGTGCAGAGGTGCAGGGTTTGATTATGTTAGTTGCTCCATGTACAGCATTTTGTATGCAGCGATGGCTGTTTGAAAGTGCTCTATAAATGCAGTTGAGTTGAGTTGATTATGGCTCCGGCCTTCCTGTGTGGAGTTTGCATGTTCTCCCCCTGCCTGCGTGGGTTTTCTCTGGGTAGTCCGGTTTCCTCCTACATTCCAAAAACACGCATGGCAGGTTAATGGAACACTCAAAATTGTCCCTGGGTGTGAATGTGAGCCCGGATGGTTTTTCGTCTATGTGTGCCCTGCGATTGGCTGGCTACCAGTTCAGGGTGTCCCCCGCCTACTGCCCGATGACTGCTGGTATTGGCTCCAACACGCCCTGTGACGCTCTAACCACTGGATCACCGGGCCGCCATATACACATATATATCAATTATCTTTGTGACGTATTCTTTTGTTTAATCAACATTTTTTTTCGACGTGTATATCTCTGTACATCTGTGCGTGGGTGTGCCTGTGGGGGATACATCAGATGGCTGCTGCTAGGCTTCCAGAGAGAATTCGAACACAGCGATGCGCTACGTTTGTTTGAGATCCTGAGTTGTGACCACCTGGAGCTCATTTCCCAGCGTGTAGACCGAGCCCGTTATCAGGAAAGACTGGCCCAAAAATATTGTCCAGGTGAGACTTAGCCTCTATTTTCGTAGATAGTGTACCTGTGCCATGGAGCGAATGCTGGTGTTCGGTGGATCCTGATTTTCGTATCTGTACGAATCGCATTGTGCCTCTTTGTGAATTTGGCAGACCGGTCTATGCCATGATGGGTGGGGCAATGCAGCCGAGGGAATGTAATAGACATGTGCTTGGCAGAGTGACGATTCGGTGGCAGCCTTAGGCTTACACAGTCCAGATCTAACATTGCTGCTGGGTAGACAGCTGGTCTCGTGTGACGTATTTCCTTCACAATCATACAAACAGCATACATCAAACACGCCAAATCAATGTATTGCAATTTTTCTTTAACCATTCCATACAGTGCCACAGCTGCGGGTGGGCAGTTTCAAAGTCCACCTTGTCTAGACTCTAATGTCGTGCGTGATTAGCATATCACATTTAAAGGGAATTGAAAGGCACTACTTTGATTGGCAATGAGCGAAGTTGGCTGTGACCACTCCCACAGCAGTGCAGCCCATCCTCTCACAGATCCAGCCTGCACTTCACTGTAAAATTACCCACCGGTCTAAGCCGCCCATGCACACAGATATGCCACACGGCACGCAGTATTTCCACTTGTCACAAAAATAGAGCCCCTTGAGTAGAAGTTGGAGTAGAAATAGGAAGGTAATGACTGTCGCCATGAAAAGACTGTGAACACAATCATTATGCTTTACCCATGTGTTTGCCTTGTCTGCAGATGACAAGTGTGGGTCGGAGCTGCAGGCCGTCAATACAGACTTTACGTTCGAGCTGTTCATCTGCGCAGCCATCCTTTTGGACCACAAAGACACTCTGTTGCAATGTCAAGATGAAGTCCAGCTGATTCAATTCACAAGCAGGTTTGCGTTACGCTCACTGGCCACATTTTTGGGTACACAATTTGATGGGACCTGTATTAAAAAGTGTACCTGGTGGCACAATACTTACAGGTATTTCTAATGTTTTGTAGGTGTAATTAACAACAGGTAATGTGAATACGCTTTGTCTTTTGCGCAGCCTTCATGGAACACTGGACTTGAACAGCACTCTGAAGAAAGCAGAGCATCATTTCTTCAACTACTGCAAACGCTGTGCTTGGGACTCCATGAACTGCCACTGTAGAGCGCACAAAAGCAAAGAAGAAGACTTTCTCTATCAGCTTCGCAGTTTATTTGTTTCAAGATAAGAACGACTGGTTCAGTCCCTGTCACCCTTTTAGAATAAGTCACCAAACATGTTTAAAGGCATACATTTGTTGTTATTCTTCATAGTCCAGAGGTAAAATGTTATCAGCAGATAGGTTATTTCATCATTATGGAAAAGTATTTATTGTTTGAAAGTGGACAAACATGGACTGTGGATTTTTTTTTAAATTATTATTATTATTTTTTTTAACTTGACACGTCAACATTGGCCTTTTTAAGGCTTGTTACAAAGGCTTAATGCAATATTTAGCCACTGGAAGGTGACAGACAACAGGTGGTGTTACTTACATACTCGGGTTATATTTAAAATGACTTATGTAACAAGCGTGTACGTTGTAGACACTGACAGAAAGAATGGAAAGGGAGGGAAATGATATGAACCTATGTTAATAATATTGTTAATGCTAATAATTATATTTAATTTATATATGGTGAATTGGTATCTTTGATCTGAAAATCCCACAAAAAATGTGACAAAAGGCCGTAAAAAGCTTTCAGTTACTTTATGGTGGATATCAAAAGTTTACTCACGCCTGTTCAAATGGCAGTTGTTTTTTGGGGGTTTTTTTGGGTGGAATAATAATGAAAAAATCGAACAATACAGGCCATTTCAAAGCCTTTTCCACTTTAATGTAACCTATAAATTGTACATGCCAAATCATTTTATTTTCTTTAATCTTTTTAAGAGGGGATGTACCGGTAGACATAACTCAAATAATGTGGTTTGGCATTTGTAGAGCCATTTCCATCAAAAAGATATACACACAGTTCTACAAATCATTTAAACTCTGTGTTTGTGGTTTAGTACTGCAAATGGTCTTTTATTTGGGGGGGATGATATGTATTTAACATTTAAACAAGTTAATATGCACTTGCATTTAACCTCAAGGGTATTATTTAGTGACATTTCTCAGCAACACTATACAGGAGTAAGTTTAAGGCTAGATCAATCCATTCCTTTGAATCTAAATTCATATTTCCAAGTCATTTTTGGAGAATTGTGTTCTGCATTTGTGGGAACGGTTTGGAGAAATCCCCTTTCTGTTCCAGCCTGGCTCTGCCTCAGTGCACAAAAGCAAGGCGCATGAGTTCAAACACATTTGAGGTGAATGAGAAGCGATATTGTGAGACTTCAGAATGAATCATGGAGAAAGTTTTCCCAAAATAGAAGCTGTCAGAGCAGCAAAAGGAGGGGCCATTGCACTTCCTAGCACTGTATATCTAAAGGTCAGCTGTCCTAATAGTTTTGTCCACTTATTGGTAGACCAACAAGCTTATTTGGTAAGTCAGAAGGTTCTAGAACGTTCTGTGGGGGGCTCATCTGACACCCAGTAGGGCTCCCCCTGCTCTATATACACTGGGTGAGCACATGCCCTCGCCCTCTTAGTCTGCCTGCCAGGACGCAGAAAGGAGTACGGGAGAGGAAGTCAGGGGTCGCTAGCACAACATAATCCCAGTTAAAGTTGAACAGCTGACACAACAAGGTAACACGATTTCTAGCTGTGCTGCATCCAGCCTGGCTTCATAGTTTGTCTCGCTTCATTGCTGCATTGAAAAGCTTAACTGCCACGTGTGAGAGCTTTTTCAATTTTTTTTTTCTTTTACAAATTTTAATCATCATGCTTGCATGGATTATTGACTGCAGGCTGAAACTGAATCAATAACAGGCAGTTTAGGTCTATATGGTCCAGAGCACTACGTTTAAATTATTCAGATATCAGCTGAATGTCATGTCTTAAAAGCTTAAAATAAAGATAAGAAAAAAATATGTAAAAAGTAGAAGCAAAATAATGATATATCAAATATGTTCATAAAACAATCTGTGTGTGTGTGTGTGTGTGTGTGTGTGTGTGTGTGTGTGTGTGTGTGTGTGTGTGTGTGTCTGTTTTTGTCATGATGGAAACTTGTGGATGGAGAAGCAGCTGGAGTGTGTCAGCAATTTCTTTGGTGTTCTTTGGTGTTACACAACCAGGGCAAGTGAAAATTCAAAATAACACACTTTGTGAACAAACTTTCGGGTGAAATTACAAATAGAGGAAAAGAAAAGGTTGTCAGATTCATTAAGTGCCTAATGACAGTCGGCACTGTCCCTGTTTGCTGCTATGAGCATGGCCCAGAAAGTTATCAAATATCTTGGCATGTACAGAATGTAATATCTTCCCATATATGAATAAATTAATCTTAAATGTGTGTGTGTGTGTATTGGCCTTTTATTTGATGAGCAGCCTTTCAAATGATTTTTGTCACCAATAATGATCCCGGCTTTTTTGGGGGGGGGACAACCATTAATTCCCATGTTGATAAGATGGCACTTATTATAGTAACAGCAAGGTATTTGGAGCCAGCTGTTGGAAGACAAACACACACACACA